AGTGGTGAGTGTAGGAAGACAATCTATATCTCAGATTGACTGTCTTATTCTCAATTATAAAGAGCCTGATACATACGAAATGTTCTGTCCCTACAAACACGGGTGGATTGAAGTTATCGCCCTCACCATCAATGCTTGCTGGTCAGTAACTCCACCCTCCCTCCTTTTGTGATGTTAGGCTCATTTAGGCTTATTTTTGTATATACGTCATACCTCACACAGTCCTCTGTTTCACAACCTGTTGGAAAGCACTATTTCTATAAGTACCATTTTACAAGCTTATCAGGCAGTTACAAGCTATGGACTGTGGATAAAGCATCGATGCAGTGCCTCTGTTGACTATAGTATAAAGTATAGTTTGCCAATTAGAGTATAAGCGTTAAGAAGGGTATATTGTAGGATAGTTGTTTATTTAAGCAGGCGGAAAAAGTATAGAAGTATGAGTTGTGGATAAGGGAACGAGTGGAGAAATAATATTAATTGCTAGTCAACATAGTGTACAGAAGAGTAAAATGTTAATACAGGATAAACAGGAAGGAACTCACAGTAACTTGGTGCTGATGTTATTTTCTGTTGTCTTAACCAGTTGATTGGTAACAGGCTCCATAGATGCAAGACCACTGGTAGTAGGCAGCCGATTGTGCGGTCCTCTTGACTTTTTAGGGTGGTAGTGAGTGTCCCTTATCAACCGAGTTTAGTTTAACAGTAATGGTAGGTCCAGTGAGTTACTTGTCTACTTCAAGTGAAGAAATAGGGTGGAAAAAGTAATTAATACAACTGCAAAGTAGGAAAAATAAGGCAAACTGAACTTGAGGTCCATTTTGGTCTAGACATGAAGAGAGCCTATGATGTATGAGTGGGGCGCAGATGTATTCGTACGTGCAAGATCAGTGCGAGTGAGGGCTTGATCAAGCAGTTTCACAAACGTATGTAGTTCATCTGCCATGCGAGTCTCGGAGGGAAGACTGTTCCATATTATTGCATACTTGGTGAGGAAGAAGTTTTCCCGAGTTTTTGATCTGTATTTCTCAACTTTGACCGTAAATACTTTGTTTCGAAGTCCGTATTCATGTGAATCTCGGGCAAGAATTATCTTGCATGTTGAATAAGTAAGGTTTTTGAGTAGTTTGAAGTAGAGAATCAAATTAGACCTAAGCCTTCTCTCCCAAAGGGGTGCTATTCCTAAGATTTGGCATCGAGAACTGTAGTCAATGACCGAGTCAGTCTTAAGTACTTTGCGGGTGAAGTCTCGTTGTATTCCTTCCACCTTTAGTATATCAGATAGGCGTAGGTTGGAAAATAAGAACGAGCAGTATTCAACGATAGGTCTTACACAAACTTTGTAAAGAAGGACTTTAGATTCATTTTGATAAAAATTACGGAGAATGAAGCCAAGCAATTTCCTCATTTTGGATGCCTTGGCTGAGATGTGTTCAGAGAAATTAAGACTGTGTGAGTAATGTACCCCTAGGTCAGTTACTGATGCCAGTCTGGGCAGTGTGTGATTGCTAAGTGTTAGTTTCATTTTAAGAGACATGTCTCCTGTACATAACCAGCCGCATTTCTCTATGTTGAGCTCTAACCTCCAGCGTTTGTACCAGTCATCTACCATGTTGAGTTCATGTTGGATTGTTTGCATAGTACTGCGTAAATCGCAAATGTCAGTTTTATAGATGACTTTTAAGTCATCGGCATAGAGGTAGGTCTTACCTGTGCTAAAACATTTGCATATATTGTTGATGTAGATTATAAAGAGCAATGGACCCAAGACACTACCCTGCTCAACACCACTGTTTATTGGTCGAGGTGTAGATGTATTAGAGTTAATCTTGGTTATTTGATATCTGTTCGTAAGAAAAGACTTGATCCATTGCAAAAGGGGATTTATAATTCCAACTGACTTCAGTCTGCTGATTAGAAGATTATGAGGTACTTTATCAAAGGCTTTCTTAATATCGAAGTATAGTATAATAACTAGTTTCTTCTGGTCACGTATACGAGTAACCTCGTTAAAGAAGTCTATCAGGCATGTACTGCACGACCTTGTTCTAATGAAGCCGTGTTGTGACGGGTCTATTAGATCTTCCTTGAGTAGGTGATCAGACAGTTGATTTTGTATCACTTTTTCCATTATGCGCGATATGACTGGAGTGATATTTATAGGTCTGTAGTTTTCAACCAGGTTTCTCGGTCCGGATTTGTGTTTGGGAAGAACATAGGTTACCTTCCAGGTTTCCGGATATGTACCTGTCTCTAAAGATAATGTGTATATTTTGAGTAGTAGCGTCTGTATGTCCGGCCCTGACATTTTATAAACGATTGAAGGGATGTCATCGGCACCAGAACTCGCATTTGGCTTAAGGGTTTTAATGGCGGTATGTATACTCCTAATGTCGAAGTTTATGGTACTAAGATAGTTTTTGCCGGTGCACTTTATGTCGATATCTGGAGCATCAGATGTATTCCCATTGTGAGAAAACCATTCACTTAATAGTTCACATATGACGGTTTGATCATTATACGTTACTCCATCGTGCAGTAAGGAGTGAATGTTGTGGTCTGTGTTCTTTCTTATGCGTTTCGTGAGGAGACGACATAGGGCTTGGGCTTTAGATGCAGCAGCGAGCGCAGTACGTTCCTCTACCTGTTTATGCTTGTTGTGTTGACTTTGTACTCCGTCAAGTACGGAGTATATCTGGTGCAGGGCACTGAAGTCTTTTGATATATAGTACATCCTTTTCAGTTTTCGCAGTTTAGACCTAGTCTTTTGGTTTATATAGGGAGTAACTGTTTTAAAACCAATTTTAGAGGGTATAGTAATGTCTAGTGCAGATTTGGTGGTGATATTGAATATTTATAATGTTTCTAAGAGGTTAATACTGGTAAAGAAACTGCCCCAGTCAGAGTGCTTTATTAGAAATCGAAAGTTTTCCCAGTCAGCGTTTGCATAGTCTCTATATTGTAATCGCGTGTTTAATGTCTTTAGTTTGTTGCATATGGCAAGAATCGGAAGGGTGCAGAGGACTTTTTTATGATCGCTGTTGTGAAACTTTTCGCCAACCACCATTGATGTTGGTGTGACATTATGAAAGAATATCAAGTCAAGAATGTTGTGATTTCGTGTAGGCAGGTGTACATGTTGTTGCCAGCCGTGTATGTCTAAGGACCTAAGTATGCTTTCAAAGCACAATGGGCCAGAGTGTGTTTTCCAGTTGATGGTGGGAAGGTTGAAGTCACCACATACAATTTTGTAAGTGAAGTCAAGCGAGGCAGCCTGAGCAAATGACTCACTTATAATAGTGTCAGTTGAACTAGGAGTGTTAGGAGCTCGATATATGCATCCGATTAGTATTTTACACTCATGAGTGTGCACAGTAAGCCATATCGATTCAGGAAGTTTGCTGAGGACGTGGTCGCTATAGATTTCCGCTCTCAAATTTTTTGATACATAAACGAGACAACCACCACCCTTTTTGGTGACTCGATCACAGCGGAAGAGCTCATAGGTGTCTATTTGTAGATATGTGTCTGTGGTATCGGAGGACAGCCAACTTTCCGTTATCAAAACAAGTGAGGGGTTGTTTAGAAGTAATAGGGTGCGTAGGTAAGTCATCTTACTTTGTACAGATCGAGCGTTGATTAACATAAGTGTCAGGTACGGTGACTGTTTGTCTAGTAGAAGGGTATAATGTAAACCGAGTGGTTTGTCTGTTTTGCCATGAGAAAAGGAAGAATTGGAAGCGTTGACTCCATATTGATGAGCGTTTAGTTTATTACCAGTAGGGTTAATGCAAGAAGGGTAGTCGGGTGTGGTTTTGGTGAAAGACGTATGTCTAAGAGTGGAAGGTAGAGTTGAATGGTTAGGTAATGTGTCCGGAGAATGATCAGGGGGTTCAGTCAAGGAGTTTTCAAGACTAGAGACAGTTATCGAAGTTGAGTAGGATGTGCCACTCCCCATTAAATCGGAGTATATAGATGGTTTCAGAATAGTGGGATTGTCGCCCTCAACATTTGGAGACCCCATAGCAGTAATGTTGAGGGGGAGAGAGATAAAAAAGGATGAGATAGTGTGTATGTCGAATTAGGGGGGACTAAACCGTTGTATTGGGTGGCTTGACTTAGATAGTACCTAGAATCAGTAGGTGGGTTCCCAAGTAGGCCAACGTTATGGCTTCCTCGTGTGCGGTGGGCAATTTTAGTCCTATTGTGGTTAGTTGGGGAGGTTGTATGTTTCTGGTAAGGAATGGAGGAATGCTTGTTATTGTTGCCAGGAGAGGCGTTTCTGTTGTGTATAGTTTTGTGTTGGTTCATGGGGCTTACAAGGTTGACACCATATGACTTATGGGTATCACGTGTGGGTGTTGCCACTTCACTATGTTTGTTGTAGGGCATTCTATTGCTATGAGAAGGTGCATGTTTTGGGTTAGGGGTGCTGGAGTATTGGTGGGTTTTTACGGAGAGTTTGGTATTATTTCGTACAGCGGTGTCTGAGAGTCTGTAGCTGTTAGCGCAATTCCTGGGAGGATCATTTTTAGGCATTTTATAGGGGCCGCTAGGGTAATACTTGGACGCTATTGAGGCATAAGTGGTTTGGCATTTCGGGGTAGCTGAGTGTTTGGGCTGAGGGTGAGTGGTTGCAGCTGCTTTATGTGCGGTCTTGTCCTTAGGACTAATAGCAGTGTCCGACGTGCCTCCATTTTTTGGGGGGCAGTGTATGATATTTTAGGATTTGTGCAGTGACAAGAGCTGTAACTGCCGCGGCTACGTAAGCTGGGTTGATCAGTTTGTGTTCCATTGCAGATTCGACGCTGGATAGCGGTCCTGTCATGAATGATCCTAATCTTTTTAAATGTTGGAATACGCCTCAGTAGTGACTGACTATTGATGAGGTGATTAGCTTCAGTGGTGCTACCAAACTGAAATAGAATGGGACAGGAGGCTTTAGTGTGTGCTTTACGTAATCTTCTTGTTACACACCAAGATTGCGACAATCCACACTCTTATAGTAGAGTATTTTTAGCAATTTTTATGTTCGTACTATCAGGTATATTATACACAATGACATTCTGCATACACTGAAGTCTTTTCAACACTTCAGATGATATATGGTCAATTACTTTTTCAGTGTTTTTTATAATTTCCAGATCGGGATTTTCTGGAACACTGATTAAATATTTGTACGGTAATAGGTCTTGAATAGTTTGGGTGAGGCTAAGTTCTGTTTTGCTGCTTTTAGGTCCACCAGTGGTGAGATTATTGGAGTTTATATCAAAGTTTTTAAGGTCGATATGGTTACATACAGGCCTGTTGCATGTGTCTAGTGGATGGTCACTTTGTGCACACTTGGTTGGGGGATGTGTCTGGGGTATATGTCTGGGTGAGTAGTCAAGATCTACATCATCGGGCTGGCTATTGTAGGCAGGCTTACATGTACTCCGTGGGCCGCTATTCAGGATGACCGATTGTGAGATTGCTGGGTGTTTGGGGTCAACAGCACTGTCTAAATACTGCTCACAACATGTGGTGCTTTTGTTTGGACTGACAAATGATGTCGACTCTAACGGTTTGTGACTGCTCTTATTTATATCGACAAGCGAGATGCAAGGTAGTGATATGTCTTGTCCAAGTAAACGGTGCACGTTTAGTGTGGGTGAGGGAAGATCAGAGTAGGATGCAGACTGATCAGTGTGTTTATAAGGTTTCACATTACTCGCTTTAGTGATTGATTTAGATCTTTTGCAGGTGCTATAGGCATCAAAAGAGATTATATGTTTTTTAGATGGCCTGGACATTATCGGAAGTGATGTAAATACAAAGTTTAATTAGGTGGACGGCGATAGTTGTAATTTAACTTAGTGAACGTGTAAAGTTTTATGTTAGGATCAGACCCAGTATTAGTTGAGTGAATATATTAACGTTAATTGGTGATAGAGATAGCGTGAAAATTAGCAAGATTAATTTATGACGTTGAGTTCTTAAATAAGGTGTCAAGTTGATAGAACCCTATCAGTGACGAATTATTTATCGCTATTAAGTGTTAAATTAAAGAGAAAAACTAATAGGAAAATAAAATAATACCACGTGAAAAAAAGTTACAACCTTCAAAAGCGCGCGTCAGTATGTTTCTCTATCAGTTGCTCATTCAGTAAATATCTCAAAACCTTGTCAGTCTAACTGATTGTTTAGCGACACAATCATGCATGCAAATAATCAGTATAAGCAGTCGAGCAAACCTCCTGCAAACTGAAAACATCAATGTCGAATTTACCCCAACACTGACTAAGGTCCAAGCCATTATCATAAATATGAGTTGGGAGTGTACTCCCCCTGGTTACAACTTATGTTCTCCCTGATAATCACATGAGCATCACTCACTATTAACCATCTTGTAAAAACTTATTTAGCTAAATACATCTTGCAGCACCACATCACTTAGTAATATGACACAGGCCTAACTGATTTTAATAACTTATAACCACTATATCTCAATTAAATCGTATTCCGCCTTATGATAAACTGCATACTTGCAACTAACTTGTATGCCCAATCAGCCGGCAAGTGTAAATATAAATAAATAGTCTGCCACAGATCAGAACATTGAGTCTAGAGCATGTCTCTTACGAATACACTCATGTTTAACGATTTGTTCCTAGCTATCTGTCCAAAATTCATATAATTATCACTCACGTATTTAAATTTTGTTTTGATAACCATTCATGTGTATTAGTAGTATTACTAAATTCTATCACGGTCAAGTAAAAATGAGGTTGAGAAAATCTCCCTGTAACTAAATAAACCGTATCAAACTAACTGGAACACTAGTTGGAATTCTTCACGGTATACTTTTGTTCCTTCAATTAGCCTACTAATACAGATGCAATTGGAAATCACATATGGACAGGTTACCGGCATAATTGTAAATTGATTTAATAAGTTAAACCAAAACTAATACCAATATTTCTAGAAATATTGATTATTCTAATATTTCTAAACACAAAATACTTACTACCTATACGTTAAGTTATTAACCAACGGCTATTAACACGCATAGTTTTATTATTATTATTATTGTAACCCCATGTTTTATAGCTCAAATAATCCTCATCCAAATTTCCATTTCAAGCGTTTTAAGCATGAAGGCAGATATTTTAAAATTATTACATGTATTTCCCGACCAGATGCTGCCGCCTTCTTTTTGATTTATCTTTCAGCTTACCAATACCCGAAGGATTCTTATTATCCTTGGTAACTTCCGGCGCTCGACGATCCCATCCAATTTGTTATCGAACCAACATCACGTTGATTCTGGTGGGAGAGTAGTGTAGTGGCATTGGACAATAGCCACACAATCCACAAAGCTGTGAACACGAGACTACTCAGAAAATAGATATTCAATATTTAACGCGGAGAAATACCTAACAATGGAGAAGGCGCGAACAATGAATTGAATGGACTGGAGTTGATCGAGTGGCATGGCTCGGCCATGCAGGCGTGGTCTCTGCTGAATGTTACCTTATATCTTCTATTCATATTAAATATATTGTTCTTTCTCTAGCCTAACCTTGTTCTACATCATGTATTGTTAATTGATACGATACAGTGAGTTGGTGTAGTCGATGGTGTGACTTCCACGTAAGATCTTATAGATTAGGCAGTTATATCATGACAAATCTATAAATTTAGGATTAGGTCTATTATTAGAGCAGTACTAATATCATAGTAGACCATAATTCTACACACACACAAGGGTCTATTCCGGTATAATCGACTACCCTTCGGAGTCAAGACGGCCCCATCCATATTTCAGCAAATAATGGATACTATGCTAAAGGATGTTGTGGGTGCTGCAGCTTATCTAGATGATATAATAATTATGGGAGTAGATAGAATAGACTTAGAAAAGAATCTCGAACAGGTGCTGACGCGAATAGCCGAATATGGACTTCGACTTCGTCCAGAGAAATGTGACTTCTGTATGCAAAAAGTACACTACCTTGGGTTTATAATCGACGAAGATGGCAGAAGACCAGATCCGGAGAATACCCAGGCAGTAAAAACTATGCCCAGACTGACGGACGTCCCCACACTACGATCTTTTTTGGGACAAGTTAGTCATTATGGAGCTTTTATTCCGAACCTTCATCGATTACGTGCCCCCTTGAATAACCTTCTGTCGAAGAATGTGAAATGGAATTGGTCTGCAACTTTCCAAACTGCTTTCGATGAAATCAAGAAAGTACTAGTCTCGGATCTGCTGCTCACCCACTAAAATCCATCTTTACCCATTGTAGTAGCATCAGACGCTTCAAACTTCGGCATTAGAACAATTATTTCGCACATCATGCCAGATAGATCTGAGAAGGCGATATCACATTCAGCTAGATCGTTAACGTCAGCAGAGCGTAACTACAGTCAGATCGAGAATGAAGCATTGTCGATCACCTTCGCTGTAAAGAAATTTCACAAGATGATATTTGGACGTCAGTTTACATTATTAATTGACCATGAGCTACTACGATTTTAACTGATATCATATCAACTGACTTCACAGCTTCAAACTACACCCGAATTTGAAACGGCTGGAACCGGTCGTAGCATCATTCTAAATTACTACTGCACAAAAGTTTACAATAATATCAGGTTTTATTCTGAATCCCATTACATGTGTACAGTGTGATCAATAAGCGAACAAACCAGTGATAACCTGAAACACCTACCACAATGTTAGCTTTTTCTAACTCTGTTCACTAATCATAATTTTTTGTCAATCACGAACGATATTAAGTTTACTGACTCACTTTTCCTGTCCTCTAAATACTGTACGGTGTGTTATTCATGTATCTTTTCCCTGTTTAGTATACTGTTTAGCGATACATACATAATAGTCTGTTCTTGTTTTGTGTTCACAAACACGCTTACTAAAATATTTATGTATTTCGCGTTTCCTTTATTCGTCACTCTTCAGTAATAAGGATAGTAGGTTGATGGACCTGTGTTAATCCTGACAGTTCACATTCCAGTGAAGGTCCAGCTTCTTGAAAATGTCCACTGAGTGTGCTGATACTACTCGTTCGGGTAAAGAGTTCAGGCACCGAATACTCGATGAGAAAAAAGGAACCCTACTTCAAGTTTATTAGATCGTAGTTTTTGAACCTTCTTGCCGTGACCTTGAAGATTAATAATTCTGGAAGAGCAAAAGGATAAGACATTAACACCCAAATCTTAATTAAGGATACAAAATTCCACAAACAATAATGTCGAAGACTTAAGCAATTGTGGTAATTCATCAACGTAGAGAGTACGAAGTGAGGTACATAAAATGGTGTCTTGGGGTACACCACATTTTATCAGCTTCCGTTGGGATAGCGTTAGGCTAACCATCAATCTCTGTCTGCGGTCACATAAGAAGTTTCCTATCCATTCCTGTACAGCACCTGTTATTCTGAAGCTCGAGAGCTTCTGAACAAGACCCAAGTGAGAAACCTTGTCAAACGCCTTTTCACAGTCTATGAAAACCACATCGACAAACAGATTGTTATCTACGGCTGCTGTCGTTTCCTCCCTTGCGATAAGTAAGTTGGTTAGACATGAATGTTTGTTTCGAAACTTGTGTTGCTCGGGAGTTAACAGATTGTACGAATCTATGTGACTTGTTAACTTAACCCGAATTATCTTTTCAAGTAACTCAAGTATTAAGCTGGTTAGACTGACAGGTCTGTAGTTAGATAAGATCTGTCCCTGACCATCCTTAAATAAAGGTTTGACTATAGCACCTTTCCAATTTACAGGAAATTGAGCGAGTGAAAGGGACCTGTTGAAGAGCACTGCGAGTCGTTTTGAGATAATGTCCATGAGAAATGATAGCAGTCGCAGATGTAACCCATCAGGGTCGGTATCGTACAACGTTCGAGGTAAGTGGTTAACGGAAGAACAGTTTCCTCAGTCACATGTACGGATCCTATGGCTGGTAATTCGGTGTGATTAGCACACATGTTTTTAGCAGTATACGTAGAGTAGACTTCGCAAAAATAGGTTGATAAAGTCTCAGCTTTTGCCAGATTTGATTGAGCTGGTAAATCTGAATTTCCATGTAACAGCAATGGGGGAATACGATCACTTCATAAGAACTTTCGTCTAAATTCGAACGAATAGTTTAACAATACTTGAGCGTCGAGTTAACGTAAGACATTAAAGAGGAAGAATGTATTTGTAAAATTTTGTTGTTTGATTATATTTTCCTTGGAAAGCTTGGATCAGATTGCCAGGAGAAACATTGGATTTACTTCAAATTCTTTCGCTGAGATTTTACAAATACTTTCTCTTTAATATCATCACTACGTTTCAATCTCCATTTAACGTACGACAACAATCGTTCCGGACAAGCACGGCTATCGTATGACAATACCTTTCGTAAATAGTATGGCATCTAGCTATGGTCCTTCTCTTGGCTTTCCTTGTTAATCCATGGATGGCAATGTGATTGCTTACGTGTTGACTATGTCATGTACGACGATGTTACGGATTTTAATGTGGTTTTCAACTTAGTCCATTCGTCTTTAATTGATCCATTTGTACTGACCGGCCAATCTATTGAGACAGCACAGTCTCTGATTGTGATAGTGTTAACTCGTCAGATATTAGAACTCGGTGGAGCAGATACGTACTGCATACCACAAAATGTAAGTTCACCAAGGACTTCTCACCTAAACAAGCGCTATTTTTAACAATGTTTCCTTGTCTTCTTTCACTTCTCATCAGTTGCAGCGTCCACATTGGAACTACTTGAGACGATAATGGTTTTGTCTGGGTCGTCAGTCGCTGCTGTAGCGATTCGGCCACCAGTATCTAATGGTGTATCACTCATTAACTGTTTCATGATGGAAACCCTATTGCGTGTTACGCAATCGGTCCGGCACGTGCCGTAACAGCACTTACGACACTGACGCATTCTTTGCTATCAGTACCCATGTTACCGATACAGCCCTCATCAATCATTTTGTTAGCCAACGCCAGAAGTTAATTACCTTTTGTATGAGTAATGTTTTGCTCGAACAACAAAACCAATGGGAGTTAGGCTTTGAGCACCGTTTATAGGCAGTGAGATTTAAACTGGTACACACTTATGGAACCCCTTCTTACACATCACATTGCATTCTTTCTTCCACATGAAATTAACACTATGGCTGTCCACATCTGTGAGCAGAGCCAGCCGTCTTAAAAGTTAACTAAAAATAGTAACAGAAAAATGGATATATAAAAATAAAATCTCACACCTTAACCGAATAAATCAAGTCAAAGTTCATCAGGTATGCTATGATACAATAAATGCGCACAAGCAAAGTCAAAACACACAGGAACAATATCACTTTCAATGAAATATATTCAGTTAAAGCGTGAACAGTAGTTTTGATGCGTAATTTACAATCAAAACTGTAGATTTGACTCAACGAGGAATAATACCACTGTCATTTTTAAATTCTCTTATTTTCCCTCATTCCCTTTTAAAAAGCTGACTCAATATTCTTCTAAAATGCACAGAACCGGGTTTTTTTTAACTTGGTAAATATTATGCCAACATTAATGAAACTTGTGTTTTATTGCATTTCTAAATAGACGAAAAATGGTTTCTACATAATACTTATGTATCCACAAGCTGTTTGTGAATAATAATACATTGATTGTGAGAATATCCAAAATCTGATACGATAACATCAGAAATGTGACCGGAGTCCGACTCATTCGGAACATATTTGTCACATTCATTAGAAATATCATCATAGATAAGTCTGTTGTGAGGACAAATAACATCTGATGAGACACCGTCAGAACTATAATCAGAGTTTAACTTATTTAGAAATTGTCCCTCATATTTAACCAATATTTTATTTGGAAAAACCACATCATATAAAGTAACATCAGAGTTCTGATCAGGATTAGGTGCACTAGATACACCTACCACATATTTGGAAATAATTTCATTAGAAATAAATGAATCATGAGAACAACGTATACATGGTAAAATAACACAATGAATCTGACCAGAATATGATAATTTTGAAACATTCAACTCAGTAGGGTCGAAATTACAAAGTTTAGGATTATCTGCAACTAAATGAATATTAGTAATACGAACTGCTTGTATGTATCCAATTTTACCACATTTAGAGCATTTATCATTACGAAGTACATAGGAACTACATGGATAAAATTTTCCACAGGACAAATATCTACCAAACTTGTGCACATCTTCGCAACTCCTTAATAAGATTTTACCAGCATAAACTTGAATACACATTAGATTGGAATGACGTAGTATTGTAGTGAAATTCTTGATGTTCTGACGAAACATTTTATGAAATTTTCATCCTTCACATCATTCAAAATTTGTACACTTTACATGGTCTGAAAGTAGTCCCTTGAGAGTTACATAAGGAAGTGTGTAAAATCCTTTATCAACTTGTTCATTTACTGTAATTTAGATTTGATTAATTGAACAATTATTGGTTGAGTAACTCAGTGGTAATATTTGTTTAGGTAATGATGTACATTTCTACTTATGACGAAATCTAGAGCCGTCATTTACCCAATCACCTTGTTTTGGTTTCAACTGAGCAATAGAGCGTATTTAAACTACCTAGACAGTTATTTTCCAGTCCAAACCTTATTTTGGATTATACACACCCCACGTGGATACTTTGACAAACTGTTTACAAACATATTTTTAATTGTTTCTCACCAACTGCATACGTTTAAAATCATCGGAGGTGATTTTAATCTGCCGGACATTAAATGGAATTCGACCTAGGTACTGGGTACGATATATCAAGTTAGTTGAAATGGTAGTTCTTTGTGGATAGTCCAACACGTTCGAAAGCCGACTATAAGGAATAATATACTTGATCAAATGTTTGCAATCAATATCAACCCTACCTCAGTGCACGTCATTGATGGATTTTTTGTGAGTGATCACAGAGTCGTGGTGAGTGATATTCATTCTCCAAACACTATATCATTGAACTCTAAAGCTCCAACAATGTGCCAAGGCAGGCAGTTGTCGACCATGTGGTTTATAATGCTAACAGAGGCCAACATACTTTTAAGAGAAAGCTGAGGAAATTGAAGCAGAGCTAGTACATGCACAATTACGTGTATGGGCTACAAATTATGCTTAACTTGACTGGCAGAGGTGATTCATCTCAATGCAAGTATCTTATATCTATGTAGGATAAAGCCTTAGAGCTATCAGTACTTCGGCTTTTCAAATCCCACGTGAAATCGAATTCCTTTGTCACGACTAGATTCTTCATAGTTAACGGCAGAGTTGTTGACGACCCTGATACTATTTGTGAATAATTCAGCCGCCGTTTCTCGCAATGCTACAGCACAAAACTCTTATCAGTACGCCTCCAACGATGACATCTAAGCGTCCATATACTGTTGATTCCATATTCACTAACATCAAAATGCCATAACAGCCCTAAAAATATCCTATGACGGTGAACCTGATGGGGTCCCTGCATAATCCGTGAAATACGGTAGTACAGATTTTCTATTATTTTGTTTAGAACTGTCCAATCTATGGACGATGAAGTCTATCCGTTTGTATGGAAAACACAGCTTATCATCCCCAGATTCAAAACAGGACCACCTAGAAATATTGCAAACTATAGGGTCATTACCTTGAAATCTGTGCTGTCAAGAATCATCCACAAATAGCTGTTACCATTTTCATTTTCTGCAAGCCTAATTAGCCCACCTTGGCACGAGTCCATAACTATACGATCATGCTTCACACAGCACTTGACTTTTGACCAAATTACTCAGCAAAGTGGGGTTGGTCAGTCAGTGATAATTCTATACATCGGTTTTAATAAGATCTTCAATGGCATCACATAACCTGCTAAAGCTCTCTATATTTGACGCACGAGACCCCTCTTACTATTGGTTCAAGTCACTTAGAGCTGAATGTAGCTAAATCATTCGCTCCGGATCTCACTACCATAAGCCTATGGATATACTGGTCCTACAGTAGGCAAAAATGATAGGTGCTTGGACGACGATTTTTGGTAACGAAATTCGAAGACTACGACCAAGTACTCGTCGCCCAATACTTACGACAGCCACTACATCAGAAGACACTACCGTATTTTAGAGAGGAAACTTGGGAAGCAAGTGAAACTATGTTTCATTGTTTAACAAAAATATCCACTGCACAGCCGCAACAAGCCCATTCGGCCTCTTGAAGTTTTTAGCTGTACGGTTCAGTCTGAGAAGTAAAGCTAATCTTTCAACACGTTTGCCACACAAATCTTTCTTTTGTGATAGTTAAGACCATAGACCGAAACTCATAATTAGCTTGTTTCTGGGGCTCTACTGAAGACAAATTACTACATGAGTGCTGAGTGGTTGCTAACCATTCGGCATATCAACGGGATATACTGACAACGAAGACTGTCATGACTGATCAGAAGATTATGAGGATTGTTCCTAAGTACAAAATAGTAAAGGCAAATCAAACCACATACAAAATGTGATGTATCAAGATATTTTGTAGCTGGTTACTTCTTTTAACGAAATTCCCAACTTCTTGGTCAGAAAATCGAGACTAAAGACACTTAAATTCGGATTGTCAACATATGTTCGTCCACGAACAGGCTAGATTTTGCCAAGTCTTGGAGAGAACTACAGTGGCTAGCGTCATTCATCTGTCAGTTATTGGAAGACCGACCTGTCTGTTATGTCAGATGTCCTTATCAGTGCTTATGGGTACGTTTTAGCCGGTGGTTTATTATCGAATTTCAGGAAACATAGCTATCGTCCAGCGACTGTCACAAAATTGGACTTCATGAAACAAAGAGCACAGTACGTTACGAAAGCGACCAACAAAAATTCGTTGGTCCCTAAAGCTGACACTGCTTTACTCAAAAGGAAAAAGGAATAATAAACTGAGTTTACGAGAGGTAGAATTTATAAGAAATAGATATTCAGGACAAAAGATAAACTAGAGAATAAAACCTGTAATTACACACAATTTCCAAAACAGAAAAGTAAACGTGAATTATACATGGTATATATACAGTACAGGTACGACTATTACTATTATTCAAGCGTAGCCATTAGGCTATCCGCTTTTGACTTAGCTTGCGCATACTCGTCAGATTCAATATTATACAGGGGATTTCGACATTCATCTAAAATTACTTCTTCTTCACCAACAGGTCCTAAGTCAGTAATAAACTGAAATTCATCGATTGTTTGACGGATAAAATCTAAACGACTAGACAGTTCCTGCCAACGAGTTTCAGGGTCACATTTGGTATCCTTCTTGGGTTTTATGTCTCCTTCGTCACCATCATCCTCTTCAGAATGCTGTTTAAACTTTTGTACTGGGTCACAACCACATAGTTCATCTCTGACGAAAACTTCTACATCCAACTGAGGCCGAGTATGTCCAAGTTCCACTAGGACAGCAAGAGCGAACTGACTTGGATGAGCTGTGAGGCACAAGTCAGTTTGATACCATAAATTTATTAAATTTACACCGTCCTTACATAACTCATCAACGAGCTGAGCATCGGATCGATTCTCTAAAAGATAGGAATCAGAACGTGCACCACAAATTCGTCTCTAAATAGATAAAAGGAGAAAATTGGCCAGTCAAAATGATGACCTAGCAACCTGCATATCTGAATAGATAGCTTACATATATCAACAAAAAGTAGCCAGAAATGAATAACAAAAAACGGTTAACATGAAATGAAAGAAAAACTAAGGTAATTTTGTTTACTCAACTTTTAACCAAACGGAGAACAAGTTTTTGAAGTATTACAACCTCCTGCATCAGTAAGCACTACACATAGAGGCAGAGGGTAAGTTGGTTTATGTAAGACGTATCCTGGACACATTAGTCGATGGAGATTTACCAGTTCATTTTACGAACTACTATTTTGTTTAGTTCCATGTACCTTACCTTAGCACTGGTTACACACTCAGTCGTTGATACGCGGGCAGTGCTTCACAGAAAGCTATGGTATAAGCCACTCAACTTCTGCATATTTTTTACTATCATACATGCAATGTTTCATAGCCAGAGTAATGCAGGGAGAACTATTATTTCATTCTCATAGTTCCCTATATCAATTCGAAAAGAGCAAGAACAAAGATTCTAACAGAATAGCATGAATTCATTTTATTTCGTTTAGTTCTCGTCAACTGCTTACAACCTGTGATATTTATAAATCATAGTTACATAATGGGTTTAAATTAATTACATGAAAGGGTTTGGTTGGAAGTGATATTGAAGACACATTAGTATAGTATAGCAAGGGTGAAAATAAATTTAATAGACTGAATATTGTAAATATATACCTTATGTGATGAAAGAACATTCTACAACATTGATTGTGACAACAGTTCAAACGGCTAGAAACAAGTGATTACATAATGAATAAATATTGATAGATGGTGGTTGGAGGTAGTCGACAGGAAACCCTGGACCTGGGTTTCGTGCTACTTGGCACTCTTCAGCAAGGTTTACCTGTAATCTTGAGGGGACTGGTGCTCTCTGGCGGATTCGATCTCGTGTCACCTAGCTTCACAGTCGATAGCATTCGATCTGCTCTAATACGGACTAGACACGCATGACATTGATCGCCACCCACTGATCAATCAATTGTGAAATATTGATAGGAATATAGTGAGTAGAGCTCAGCTAATAAAACAAGGTTAATAATCTGGAAGATAGTTGAAATAAAACGCAATGATGTAATAAATACAAGAAAGAGTTTAAAGAAGAAGATGCAACGAAGGAATATTTGTCACCAAGGAAAGGAAAGGCAAGGCAAGATTAATAACCATCTCATTTTGAACATACAAGTCACGATTTTGACGCCTGATAGCAACGACTTGAGCAAACTTCAGAAGACTGGAGGTTAGTTGTTTACTAATCACCTTAAAATATTGCAAAGTATCGACGTTATGCCTTGTACCAAGAAGATGTTTGGTAATCGCACTGTTTAGAGTCTTTCACTTGTTCTGAGGCTTTCTGGAGCATGTTCAACAAATCTAAGATATGCCGTCCTTTCTGTTTGGCCAATGTAGCTGCTTTAGCAGGTAAACGTAAATTTATAAATCCAGTTGGTGGTAACACTAAAGGGGTGCTTGTCAACCTTTGATTGAGTTATTTAACATGCTGGTTTATACAGAATTAATAGTTTGGCTGCCGGAACATGTGCCGGAAAGCCTCAGGACAAGTGAAAGACTCTAAACAGTGCGATTACCAAACATCTTCTTGGTACAAGGCATAACGTCGATACTTTGCAATATTTTAAGGTGATTAGTAAACAACTAACCTCCAGTCTTCTGAAGTTTGCTCAAGTCGTTGCTATCAGGCGTCAAAATCGTGACTTGTATGTTCAAAATGAGATGGTTATTAATCTTGCCTTGCCTTTCCTTTCCTTGGTGACAAATATTCCTTCGTTGCATCTTCTTCTTTAAACTCTTTCTTGTATTTATTACATCATTGCGTTTTATTTCAACTATCTTCCAGATTAGTAACCATGTTTTATTAACTGAGCTCTATTCATTTTATTCCTATCAGCGTTTACAAAATACATTTGACTGACATACCAAAACAAACCCTTTCTACCACTAACACCAAGTTATCAAGACTTATTCCCACTAACCCTCCGACCACCCGAATATAAGTGCTCCCGAGGGGTTTGAAAATAAGGCAAAACTGCTATCGAATGCCCATTAGTTTTCAATAATTCTTTATTGGATCAGGATGGAAACTACTCTATAACCGTAGGAAATCACTTGATAAGACATTAAAGCGATTAAATATATAAAATAATAAAAATTTCCCACCTGATATGCTACTAAGTCGATAACAAATCCAGTTAACGCTTGATACGGTGTATACACCCACAGATCATAACCCAGTGATTCCATCAAAAAAAGTTCAGAATTGAGAACCAGATAACTATATCGCTCTTGATTTCTAGGGATATGCGAAATGAAAGTCTGAAGACCAATTGGGAAATCTGCAGCTTTACAAGCAACGTACAAGCATGTTAACATTATATCACGTGGATAAAAGTCCATTACAGAATGATTAAGATAAAAACGTTTAAAATAGGTTGCAGCAAAACCATATACCTGAAATAACGAAAAAAATGATGAAAGCTATTAACTAATTCGGTTAAAGAACTATCAGCTGTATGTATATTAGTTAAGGTCAAAATTATAATGCTCAATAATCAAGAAGTCTATGAATGTGATGTTCTAGTCACATATATACTGTGTTCAAGTTATTGATAATACTCAACTACTCAAACCGAAGTGAAGAGAGGTTCAAATATGTAACCGAATGACTGAAATCTATGTGATTTATTCATTAGATTACTACTCAAAAAGATAACTGCATCTACCTACTCAAAACGTCAGCCAGTGTTAAAGTAGAACCTGGAACAGATGCACGTTGACCCGAATTGTAATATCACATATGCGTAATATGAGATTAACAGTATGCATAGCAAGAAATCGAAATAATATGGTAGCAGCGACAATAAAATTGACTAGAGATTGAGAACACGATTTGAAAAGAAAGGGTGGAAAATAGTGTACAGGGGAACACTGAAATTCGAGATCAGGAAGGAGATATAAAAGTGGATGCATTTACAGCACAGTTTTTTTTTTAATAAATAGGAAAAGTCAGATCGGGATTTCAGCAAGAATTGAGAAAATCACAAGGATGGTTTAGGAGTGGTTAAGTGCTCACGCGCGAGACCAGTAGGCCCCGGGTTCGAATCCCGCGGGGTGCGGGGTCGTGGATGTGCACTGCTGAGGAGTCCCATACCAGGACGAAACGGCCGTCCAGTGCATCCAGACTTTCCATAGATTTCAACTTGTGAAATCGTATATTGCCCCCAAATGCCCTGGTATGGCCGAGAGTGGGGTGGGTTCGCCCTCCCTCTCGAAATACTCTCACACGGCCACGCGTATACAGCCTCTGCCAGGGAAGTCCTACTCACTGCCTTCTCGTACCACGGATGTTGTTTACGAAAATGAGAGGACGAAAAGCAAATGTCCGGTGCTAAAACCGGATTCCAAACCAATGGTACACCTGGGCACCAGTAACCTGCGGGAACAAATGGCGTATGAACCAATCGTTGGTCACCGGCTACCATGGGGCGGCATCTCACGATGCTCCACTGCCTTGTGGGTTAGACCTTTAGGTCAAAGGCTCGGGGTGTGGCCCCCTAAGATAACCACCTGATTCGGTCTGGGCACCCGAGCAGTATCGCAGCCCACACGCAATTAATGGACTGAACTGTCTATGATCATGGAAACTAATTCTCTTGCTTCGACGAACATTCAAATGATTCAATTATTATTATTGCTATTATTATTATTATGATTTACTACGTCATTATTCACCCTCCTTTATTCCTACTCTGTCTATACTTATTTTTTGTTCGACTTATACAGCAGCTCGTCTATGGTGGAAATTCGACTGTATCTAAACGTTCTCGAGTCACTGTCCGGTTGAAAATTGTATGTTACCACAGAATACGAGGACTGAAGCAGTTTTTCTGAAACCACGTTTATTTATTTATTATTTATTTATTTGAACACATAAATATTGGTACAAGAGAGCGCCAATATATATGCGCCACACAAAACAATGGGAATTCGAAGAGAAAAAAAAAAAAACTAAGGAACGCAAAAGAAAAAGAGAGTAATGACGAAGAGGTACAATCAGAAGAAATCTTTCAGGTAAAGGAGACACAACCACTTTTTATGAAGAAAGTAAAAGAAGGTTACAGCAGGATCGCCACTGGCTTCTATTCTGAGCCATATCTGATAACGTCTCTAGCCACTGTGTAGCACCATCTCTCGGACCCCAACCAGGGAGTCGTGAAGGACCAACACAAGCCAGTCCTTTGCAGCTTTCTTTCATGCCACGACACCATGTCATGCACTGACCACCTCTCCGCTTCTTCCAACCAGTCCCAGAGTCGGGAAATAATGCACGACGTGGAATTCTCTGGGACGACATTCGGAGAACATGTCCAAGCCACCGAAGTCGGTGTTTTAAGATGGTGACACCAATTGAGTTATCATCTCTGTGCCCGAACACACGATCCCGAACCTCTGCATTACTGACATGGTATTGCCACTGGATGTCAGCAATCCTTCGGAGACAGCGATGATCGAACACAGAGAGTCGTCTAACGTCCTCAACTCGGAGAGGCCAGGTTTCACAAGCATAGAGCAAAACTGCTCTCACCGACGCGTTGTAGATCCGACCTTTTACAGCCAGACTAACATCACGAAGGCGCCAAAGGTGGCCCAGATTGGCATAAGCCGCTCTGGCTTTCACTATTCGTGCATTGATCTCATCACTCACACCCCCACCAGCACTTATGCAGCTACCCAGATACACGAACTTCTCAACTACGTCTATCTGCTCACCATCCAGGGTGAGTACAGGATTAGAATCCTGCCAGTCTTGTAGAAGTACTTTGCACTTCGAAGGTGCAAAGCACATACCATACCTACGGACACTGATTGCCAACTGATTAAGTGCGGATTGCATGCCTTGGGCATTATCGCACAGTAAGACAATATCGTCCGCATACTCAAGGTCGAGAAGTCTTTCTCCAGGCAACAGATCCACACCACCATTACTTACATTCATCAGAGCTGTTTCCAGAATGTCATCGATGGCAAAGTTGAAGAGGAATGGTGAGATTGGGCAACCCTGCCTAACCCCACTGCTCGAATGGAACAATGGAGAGAGGTGGTTGTATGCCCTCACTCTGCCTGAGGTGTTTTTATATAGGGCTTTTTGGATGTTAGTAAACTTCTCAGGCACACCCTTCTTCAATAGACAATCCCAGAGAACAGTCCTCTTCAACGAATCGAAGGCAGCCCTGATGTCAAGAAACACTACGATTGTTGGCCTTTGAAAAGTATGGCGGTGTTCTAACATTTGGCGGAGGGTGAAGATATGATCAATACATCCTCGACCAGAACGAAACCCAGCCTGCTCCTCGCGAGTCAATCTTTCTCGGGTTTTGAACAATCTACGAAGTATGACGGAAGCCAATAGCTTGGACGCAATCGGAAGTAGACTTATCCCCCGATAGTTGTTACAGGAACGACGTGAACCGTTTTTAAAGATAGGGACAACTATCGACTCATTCCATGACGTTGGTACACTCTCTAGTTCCCAAACCTTTGTAAGCAACGTCGTCAATTCCTTAGTCAAAAAGTCACCACCATCTTTAAAAAGAGCCGGAGGTAAGTCATCTGGGCCAGGTGATTTGTAACGCTTCAAGAGTTGGAGTTCCTTGCGGACTTCCTCCTCGTTTAGTGGATCAGTCGTCACCGGCCATGGAGGGCAGGACAGTCTGACCGATGTTGCCGGAGCAGCAGGCCAGTTGAACTGCCCTTCGAAAAATTCTGCCCACCGTCCAAGACGTCGATGGATGTTAGTGATTGGCATCCCATCATCCTCGCAGATTGTTTCACTCACACCAGACTTCTTGCTGCCAGTGGCTCGGATGAGCTGGAAGAGCTTCCGGCAGTTACCAGATGCAGCTGCTGCTTCCAGCTCATTAGCACGCTTCGACCACCAGGCTTCTCGGTCCTTACGCAAGCTTTGCCCGATTTCCTTACGTAAAATCCTTCGTTTATGGTCAAACTCACGGTTACCCGGAGTAGACCGACGGGCTTCAATGAGTTGTAAGGAACCAGAAGAAACCCAGTGCTTAAAAGCGGGACGTTTCGCAAACCCACAACTGACTGTACCCTCCATTTTCATGGCTTCATGCAATTGCAACCAATGCTCATCCATACTTTTCGGTGGAGTGGTAGCTAGCCTAGAGGCTAGCTCGGTTCGATACTTACTTGCAACAGAAGTTGCAACCAGCTTGCTAACATCAATCCGTTGATGGCGTTCACTTCGTTGTCCACTGAAAAGTAAGGCAAGATTAGCGCAGACCAAGGCATGGTCAGAGTCCAGATAGGTACCCCAAAAGGAGCGGCAGTCTTGTACACAACCACGCCAGCGGTAGCTGATCGCGATGTGATCAATCTGAGTCCAGGCTTGAGATGCAGAGGGAGGACGCCAGGTGGCACATCGGCGATGACTGTGCCGAAAGTTAGTGCTAGCCAGAAACAGGTTGTGGTCTGCGCAAAGTTGCAGTAGACGGTCCCCGTTATCTGACCTGCGACCAACGAGTCCCCATCGGCCACCTAAACGACTCTCTTCTGTGCCTAGACGCCCGACCTGAGCATTCAAGTCTCCGGCTAGTACTACAATATCTGTCGAACGCACTTTCTGGAGAAGAACTGATAACTGGTGGTAAAACTCATCCTTGATTGCATCCGGGCTGCAATCTGTCGGGGCATAGGCGGAGATGACGAAAAGACATCGTTTCTCACGCCGATTTCTTCTCACTTTGATGGAACTTTCTAATCTAACAGCACATAACCGACTGTTAATGGGGATCCAATCGACTAGTGCTGCCTCAGCTCTAGCGCTTAGTGCGACACCAACGCCAGCAACACCAGACGAAGATGCCACAGGGTCCCCGGATAAGCGCACGTAAAACAAGCTTTTCGAAGCGACAGATGGAGATCGAATTTGTAGTACTTCACCAGAGTCCTGAATACGGGTCTCGGATAGACAACACACGTCGATATTAAGACTTTCCAAAGACATAGCCAGCCCTATCTGTTGTCCGACCTGCATAAATGTGCGAACGTTGAAGGCAGCCAGTTTGAATGATGCACGTGGTTTCAGAAAATCTGCTTCAGTCCTCGTATTCGGTGGTAACATACAATTTACAACCGGACAGTGACTCGAGAACGTTTAGATACAGTCGGAATTCCACCAAAGACGAGCCGCTGTATAAGTATAAAAGAAGGTGAATAATGTGGAAAATAATAACAATAATGATAATAATAACAATAATGACAATAATAGTAGTAATAATAATATTAGTATTAATAATGACAATAATTGTAGTGATCATAATTTGAATCAATTGATTGTTTTTCAAAGCGACAAAGGTAATTTCCATGGACATAGAGTTCATCATTTGTGTGTGGGCTGTGATACTACCCGGGTGCCCAAACCGAAGCAG